AGCTTATCAAATATAATTAGGATTAATTTAGCAAATGTAACATAGATAGATAAGCATCATTATGACTCATTTACTTCGTCCTATAGTGCAATTTTGCTTATCAATGATGTGATTAACATGTGTATTAATGATTGACTTTGATTTGTAATGATTTACATCTATTTTCTATTTTTATCTTTATTTATGTATTATTTTATGCCAGAATCTTCCGGATAGATTAGTAAGCCTAATGAGCGAACTAAGCTTTTATTTTTAATGTATTTTTATTCTTAAAATTATGTACATTTAAAAATTATTTAAACCTGGCAAAATTTCTTTAATAAAAATTAAGTATTTTATTGGCAAAAACTACATAATAACGTCTTATTATAACTAAACCTTTACACAAAGTCATATCAAGACGCAATATATAAGAACAAGAGAAAAATAGATACATAAGAATAGAAGGAGCCAACAGAATATAGAGTTTAAATATATGAAACAAAACAAAGGCAACAAGATTAGTTGGAGTAGCAATAAAAGAATATGGCAAAGAAATAATAGCGGAAAGAAGTGATGCAGTAATAGGTCTAGAAGACCATATAGACAAAATGATTGCAGAAATACTAGAAATAGAAAGTGATATAGTAATAGTAGCAAGAGAATGGAGAAAAGTAATAAAAAGAGCAGCAATAACAGAAGGAATCAATAGAGTTAAAATAGTTTTAGGGCAAAAAACTCAAGATATAATAACAAGAAAAGATGTTTTAGCAACTCAAAAGAATAAGAACAAATTAGATATAGAAATAATAGATCAAACAAATTCCTCAGAGATAGTTGATAGCTCAAAAGAAGAACAAGTTTTACTAGAAGAACAACTTTCAGTAAGCAAAGGAAACAAAAAAAGTGATAACATAATAGAAAACATCAAAGAATTTCAAAATAAAGAAACCTCTAGATTAAACTCAAACCTATATTCAAATACTTCAGAAGAATTAGAAGAGGATATAATACTAGCTGAGTCTGACTCATCACTCGAGAAAAGTATTTGGACCTCAAGTAAAGATAAGTGCGAAGGAGAAAAGATCATAAGAGCGAAAGTAGCAGCTATAAAGGTACTTAGAAATAATGCAAGTTATAAAGAAAAATCTTTGAGATAGT